TTAAAGAAAAACCTCTGTACCATTTATTGAGTGTTTACTGTGTGCCACGCACTATCCTATGTGCTCAGCCATTCAATCCTCATAATATGAGATACGCACTGTATTTGCCTTGGGGGATGTTCCTGGCACCCCAGCCACTCCCCCACCTGCCCCAACACCTCATTCCATCAGTAGGTCTTGTCAGCTCGATCCCTTTTCATGTGTATAGTCCAATTCCCATGTGTTCCCCCCCACCGACCATACACACTTTGCTTCAGCCTTCTGTTTTTCCTGCCTTTAATTCATACTCCACACAGCTGTCAGGGTGATCTTTCTAAAATGTAGACCTGATCCTGTTGCTCCCTTGCCCATAGCCCTTCAGTGTTGTTCCACTGTTCTTATGATGAGTTTTAATTCCCCGGCAGGCTTTCAAGATTTCTGTGACCTCGCTGTGCTTGCCTTTCCAGCCTCCTTGCTGGTCCTGCCTCCTCACACCCTATGTTGAAGCTGTATATGACCTGCTGTTTTTCACCCCTGTGGCTTTTCCTGCTTGGGATAGTATCTGCCTGAGGAAGAGCAGTCTGCTTTCCAGAAAGTCTTTCCTGACCCCTGCCCCAGGTTCCAGTGTGCCCTATACAGTCCCTTCATTCATGGCATTGCCCAGCTGTATTGCATGTTTTTACCACCTCCTTACCCTGGCTCAACGGCAAGCTTGAGGGCCTAGACTTGTTTGAATTCCCAGAATCCAGACCAGTTCTCAACTCTACCACTTCCCGTTTGTTGAACTCAGGCAAGTCATTTAATCTCTTTTCCTCAAAACAGGGAGACAAATTTACCTACCCAGAGGTTAACAAAGCATCTAGAAGGTGTCTGGCTATAGTAAGTGCTCAAATGCAGTTGTTAGAAGGTACTTGGTAAATGTCAGACAAAATTTATTGAATGTTTTCATGGCCAGGTCAGCTGTCTGCTTGTGGACCTTCCTTCCCCACCCTCCCCTAACCCCTTAGTGCTTTACAGGAAGCCAGGATTTGAGACTTCGCTAGGTCACTTTTCCTATGTCTTGATTTTCTAGTGCCTAAGATTGAAAAAATGGATGCAAGACTGGGCTCCCTCGTGGATGAGTTTAAGGAGCTTGTCTACCCACCAGGTTACAATACTGAGGGAAAATTTCCCAAGCGAAAACAAGGTGAGAGCTGGGTATGGATGTCCAGTGGGTTATTTCCAAAGGTCTTTATGGTCCTACCACAGAGGATAGTGACCCGAAATTTCTACACAAATCTACATATTTACATATACAAACGCACGTTTCAGCGTAAATGGAATAGTATTCACGTTGTTGCTAGTTTATTGTGTTACTCAGCTGTATATATTGGACAGTTACTTATGTCAAAACTTACATATCTACCTCATTTAAAAAAATAAGGCTACAGAGTACTTCATTGGATAGATGTGCAAGTTATTCGTACCTTTATTGGTGGATATGCTGCAGTGAACGTGGACCACCATGGTGTTCCTGTGTGAGCAGATCCATAGGATAAATTCTTAGCACTGCAACTGCTGGGTCAAGGTGTAAACATTTAAAGTTCAGATAACAACTGCTGGTTTGCCTCTGAAAAAGTGATACAATTTATACCCTATCCAAGAAGGGATGGGTGCGTTTGCCTACTTTCACCAATCTTGGTCTTTATTATATATATATGTATATATATGTATATAAATTTTCACAAAAAATAATAGGGGGAAAATTATATCCTGTTTTGATTTGCAATTCTCCAGTTATGAGTAAAATGTAGTTTTCTTGGACTTTTTTTTTCCAAAGAGGAACTTCCAGTTTTTGGCCTTAACCCTTTTTTCTATTGGATTGTCCTTTCCTCCCTGCTGGATCTGGGTTCAAAGTACTGTACCACGGGTGACTCACAGTTTGCAGGATAGCCTGTTGTGACTTCCTCACCATTTGGGAATAGTTCTGACTTAGGTTGTAATCCTTTCGGCCGTCTTTGGTAAGTAAAGCCAAATTTGGGCCTTGCTTACCTAAAAGACCAGTGAGGGCAGTGGAGCTGTGAGAGGGTAGGTGTGGCCGTGGTGCTCTTTTGCATCAGAAGTGACTAGTGCCCTGTATGAATATGGCTCTTCACACCTGTGCATGCTAGTGACGTACTTCATCCCGCTCAGCCTGCACATTCTTATCACCTAGCACACGCCTTGGTCCTTACCTGGTGCTTCTGGAGGGCAGGAGGGAAGGCGTGGATGACTTGCTCATTTAGAGTGAGCAACAGTTCCGGGTAAACCAATGGCATGCAGACTACTCTTAACTCCCTCCTAGGTTGATACATTTTTGATTTTGTGCTTCAATGAAGCTGTCTAATCAGGACACCTGTCTTCCCCATGGTGTTCTGAGTGGGCATCACAGCTTTACGGAAAATGGCTGACCTCAGCCCAGATCATCTGAGGGTGCTATGCAGTATAGCAGGGACACCACTGGTAGCATTTCCAATCATTCCTTCCTGATCTTTTCCCCAAGATGATGAAGGTTCTAGAAGCAAAAGGCCCAAGATGGAGTTATCCGAAGAGGAACTGAAGGCTCATGTCAGCAAGGGCACGCTGGGTAAGCTCACTGTGCCCATGTTGAAGGAAGCCTGCAGGGTGTACGGGCTGAAGGGCGGGCTGAAGAAGCAGGAGCTGCTGGATGCGCTCACCAGGCACTTCCAGGACTGAGCAGGGGCCGGCTGCCCAGCCACCCTCCAGCCCTGTAGCCAGGCCCCTGGCTGTTCTCAATTAGTAAGTCATTCCCCTGAAGAGTCGCCTGGCAGAAGCCAGAACTTTACATTTATGAGACTTCCTGTTGCCGTGGAGACAGCATAGTCCTGCTTTTTTGTGCCTTACCCTGCTGTCTGAATAAAGGGCCCTAATTTTGTACTATATACTGTTCTTTAGTGTGAAAGAGAAAGACGTCTGTCTCACATCCAGAGATCACTTGCTGTGATCTTAATTTTCTCTCCCACTTTGAACACACATTATCACAATGGGAACAAAATGAATACCAAAGGTCAGGGAGAATGTGACGATTAGGGACAGGTGAACATACCCCAGGAATGACAAGCTCTAGCAATATACTATTGTCCTCTTACCTCTTTTCCTTTGTGTCATATTACACCCTGTTGACCAGTCACAAGTGTACACGTTTGTGTTGGGACATTGCTGACCAGTCATGAGTTAACTGGTGTCTGCACTTAAGTAATTATAAGCACCTCACTGACCAAAGCCGGCCACACGGGAGAGTTCTGGCTCAAAACAGCCTGTCAGTAAGGTGTATTACGACCTGAAGATCAGATTTCAGAAGCATTAAGCATGTAACGTTCTGGTACTGGTACCGTTTGCTTCAGGAATAAATAGCACTCCCCTATCATGTTGCATTCCTCTTAATGTAACATTCAAGTACATGAAGGTGCCATTTCTATTGCCCCGAGAGTTTGGGTTCCAGTGTAAGTGAAACCAGTTATTCCTCTTATTTTTCAGGGGAGCTGTAGGAAATTCAAGATGAGAGGCCCTAGTATTAGAAGAGGAAGAGGGGGGTCCTAGTGTTAGAAGGAGGGGAGTGTCTCTTTTTCTTTCCCCCATCCCTCCTCTGTTCCCCCTTTCCCCTTCCTGCTCTTTCTGCTACTGCTTTTGAAGAACTAGAAGGAAGGGAAGCATCTGGAAAGATTTGTGTCCTCTGAGGATGGCTTGAGATTCAGGCTTTGTAAGGCCTGTGTCTTTTAGGACTAGAATAAGCATCTCGAGTGTAGGAGAGGTCAAATTACTCTTGTAAGAGATTTTCTGTTTTGGGTTCTTTGCTCTGAGGTTTATAACATCAATTTGGGATTTAAGACTATGGAAATATATTGTTTAGTACTTAACAATACTACAAATGAATAATCTCTTTCACAAGTCATCGTAAATGTAAAAATATCCCTTAATCCTAGGTTCTCTTGGGAAATTGGTTTCAGGAAACTTATTCTAAGATCCTAAAGTGACATGTGAATTGACTAGCACGAGGAGAATGCCACCAGTGCAGTAAAGGAACACCAAGTACAAAGAATTTGAGAAGGAAATGGGTATGGAGTGTTCCAGAAATCAAATATGGAACACTGAGCAAAGATACAACATGGTAAAGCAGACCCAGTACACACAGTAGAGGCCACTGGGAGCAGGGAAGAGCCACAGGTTTTTTCCCCGGTGATCACAAATTGACACCTTGCCCTTTGAAGGCTTATGATGGAGCCTGGGCACTGAGCTAATACTTCAGAGTAGACCGGGCACCAGGAATGAAGATCCCAGGAGCCCCATCCCCACCCACTTCTTAGGGCTCTAGTGGGTAAGCCTTAGTCTCCATTTAGGTGGAGTTTGGGTTTCTTAGTTCCCTCTACCCCCAAATTATTTCAGTCTGTTAGAGCATGACTATAAAAAGTACAAGAAAGTAAACTACCACAAACTCCATCATCCACAAATATAAAACTGCTGGGGTGGGAGTGGGGAGGTGTATAAACACTGGAGCAAGCTGGAAGAAAAGACTGGCCCAGCAGACACAGAACAGGCCTTAACCGGACAGGGTGGTTTCCAGGCTCCCCAGGTATGCTTCTTGCTGGAGTGGGTACACTGGCCCAAGCTGGCCAAGAGGAAACCAAATATAATCTATCCTCATTAATCTGACCATTACAGGACTTTATCTGGAGGGAGGGGTTAATTGCCATTGCCATTTAGTGGGTAAAGGCCTGGGATGCCCCTAAACATTCTACAACATACAGGCAGCCCCCTACCACAAGGTTTACCCAGCCCCAAATGTCAGTAGTGCTGAGGGTGAGAAACCCTGTTCTAGAGTGATAGCAACACCTCAATGACTAAGTCCATACAAGACATTTTGAACTGAAATCATCTGGTAGTGATGGCTTCTGTACAGCTTCTTGGTGGAAAGTTTGAGAAGCTAAAACTAGTAATAAATGCTAAGCAGTTCAACTCTTACCTACCAAGAACCACACTTTTTCTTTAATTTGTAATATGAATATATTTCTTTACTAAGACTCACACAAGAATGACACATTAGCACTGTTCTGATGTGATAAAAGCATACATACATCTGACCCACATCATGGCAGAAAATGGGTAGGTAAGGGCTCTCAGAGCTGGTACCAAGTCCACTGAAGAAATCTCTATTCATCAGAGGCTGTTTCCTTGGACTCTATCACCTCTGTTGTAGCTTCCAGGTCTCCAAAACTTGCCCAGAATCCTTCACTCCAGCACCAGTTGATCCTACTTTCTCTTGCCACTCCAGACTCCTTTAAGACCTAGGTCAACTGCCCCATGTCTCACTAGTCCAGGCCACTCTGGAGTCCTGCAGCATACACCTCTTTGGTATGCTGCTGTCCTAACACCCTTAGGGGCACAGCTGGAAGTTGGGGAGGGCGAAGGTGGGGCAGACATAACATCGTATTACCAAAAGCAAACGGTAGGGTTACATCAGCAAATGACACTTGGGCATATGACTTAACCACCTCACAGAATACATGCTTCCTCCCCAAATGATGCATAATCCCCTAGATCATGTATGAAATAATTTCAAACATGTATGAAATGATTCTGTACGCCAGGCACAAGGGAAATCACATGGGTGTTTACTTCACCATGTCTTGCACGCACAAGGGAGTTAGTGCCTGAAAGCTGGAACAAGATCTCTATCCTGGCTCTTCCCTGCCCTAGAATGGTGTCACCACTCTGCTTCCACCTGTTCTGGGCCTTAGTTCATCTTTCAAAAGGGAGGAAAGATGGCAGAGGGAAAGTAGTAGGGGAGATTTAGGGCAGGGGTGAGGTGGGTGTGGGGACCTGTAAGACAAAACAAAAATAATATAAAAATGTAAAAACCAGATTTACTACTACAATATTTTATAACAACAGAAGGTAGCTGGAAATACTACATGCTAACATAGACAATATGATACACAAACCCAGGGGGAGGAGTCAGTGGGAGAGCATGGCAGAGACCACCAGTTTAGACTAAGAGCCTTTCAATGGACTGCTGAATGGACTGGATCTGCTGCTTCAGCTGTGAGCCTTCTTTGATGGTGACAGAACAGGCGATGACAGGCCTGGAGACCCCACAGGCCCGTCCCAGTGCCTGCTTGGAACGCACGAACACGTAGGGCACATTCTTGTCTTCACACAGCAGTGGGAGGTGCAGGATGATCTCCAGCGGCTCTGCATCTGCAGCCATCACAATGAACTCAGAAATGCCTCTGTTCAGGGTTTTGGTGGCTGTGGAAAGAACATGAGGCCCATAGGTGATGTGGGGTTTGGGTAGGGAAGCCACAAAGAAGCAATTTCTGAGGAAAAGAAACACAGGTGCAAGAAAACTGGGCAAAACTCCCAGGCATAAGCAGTCCTCTGTGTCCTGTAGCAGCCTTGGGAAGTGGTAAGGGATTTAAACACCATTTGGTCATCCTCAATGCCTTCCTTGAACCCTCCATCAAACCCATCAGTCTGTCAGAGCACACCCTGAATCAGACCACTTTTCTCCCCTGCTCTGTACCACCTGTCCAAGTCACCACCACCTCTTGCCTGGCTGACTGGAACAGATTCCACACAAGCCCTCCCAGCACGAAGCAGTGCACGGTAGCACTTCTCAAACTCTGATCTGTGATGGTCTGACCATCCCAACCTGCCACGATAAATACTTCTGACAAGCTCACACCACGTGCAACTCACCAAGGAGGTACAGCACCACACAGCATTGTTCAGATGCTTATTCCTGATTGTTTATCTCTGTGGCCCGACACTAGCCCACAGACCACATTCTGCATTAATGCTGGAGTACTACTAGACAAGGGCACAGGCTCTAGGGCCACACTGCCCAAATTCAAATTTTGGCTCTCAATAGAAGGTAAATGTGACAGAAAATGTTAACAATTGGTAGATCTAAAAAAAAATTCTTAGTCCATTAACCTTTAGCATCTAATGCCAAAATGCTGTTCTTAAGTCTTCCCATTGGTCCCAATCTAGAGTATCCGGCCCTCTTTCCATACTGGAAATCGAGACCAGGGACTTCTGACAGAGACAGGCGCCTTCAACATCCTCTCTGGAACACTCTTGGCTGCCTTACCCTCATTGGCTCCTTTCCGAAGCTGCTTGTAGTTACATGACTGCTGAACGAGGTCCAGCAGTTTTTTGGTGAGGTGGGCATCTGCGAGAGGGTAGGCCTTTGGATTTACATCAGCCTCCGTCTATGGGGGGAAATCAAAGCATCAGTGAAAACGAACCAGAAGTTGTTCCAGAGAAGTCACAAAATAATTGACAATTGACACACAATGGTCAGCTTCCCTGCTCCCTCACCCCCAAATACACACTTAAAAATGACACTGGCCTGCACACTCTCAACTTAGAAAAACTGAATTAGGATTAAGAAAATTCACTGTATTTCCTGGTGTGCTAAAAATTTCTTCTTCCTATTTCCCCCCCCACCAGAGGATATTTTTTCCATTGATTTTTAGAGAGTGGAAGGGACGGCAGGCGGGAGAGAAACACCAGATGTGCGAGAGACATCAACCGGTTGCCTCCCACATATGCCCCCACCGTGGCCAGGGATCAAAGCTGCAACCGAGGTACATGCCCTCGACCAGGAATCAATCCCTCAACCCTTTGGTGCTGGGGCCAACCCTCTAAACACTGAGCAACACCAGCCAGGGCTATGCTTATTTTCTTGATTAATCTCACTGAAGGGGACTTTTCAAAGAATTGTCTTCTGACTTTGTCCATCCTATAACATTAGGATCTATTTTCTACTCCAGTAATTTCTGCTTTCTTTCCCCTTCTATTTTCTTTGGGGTTATTTTGTCCTTTTGTTATTTTCCTACTTTCTTAATTCTCCCCCTCCCCCCCAATGTAAGTACTTTCTTTCTTTTTAATTTACTGATTTTTAGAGAGAGAGCGAGCAGGGAAGGGAGAGAAAGAAACCTCTTATTTGTTGTTCCACTCATTTATGCATTCATTGGTTTGTATTTGTTGGGACCTGAGACTGAATCCACATTCTACAACCCTGATGTATCAGGATAACCCTCTAACCAACTGAGCTACCCGACCAGGGCCCCCCAGCATAAGCACACCTGGCCAGGGCTAAATCTTCTTTCCAAACACTTTGTTACTGGCTCCTAATTTATCTGTGCTTTGGTTGGGAGAGCACTGCCTGTATTGTTATCAATCTTTCAAAATTTGTTGAACTTGCTTTATGATCCAGTAGGTAGCCAATCTTCACAAATGTTCCTTGCTTGAAAAGTGCCTTCTATACTTGCCAGGTACAAGCAGTATTTACTACATTCACTATGACCACTAGATCAAGTTTACTCACCAACAATCATCACCCCCTGCCCTGGCCCATTTGGCTCAGTGTTAGAGCATCAGCCCTCGGACTGAAGGGTCCTGGATTTGATTCTGGGCAAGGGCACATACCTTGGTTGCAGGCTGGATCCCCGGCCCTGGTCGGTGTCCAAATGGGAAGCAACCAATCAATGTGTCTCTTTCACATCGATGTATCTCTCTCTCTCTCCCCATTCTAATCTCTCTGAAAAGCAATGGAATAATATCCTCGGGTAAAGATTAAAAAAAGAAAAAAGAAAAGAAACCATCGGTCTTGACATGCTAAGGTTGTGGGTTCAATCCCAGCCAGGGCACACACAAAAAATCAACCAATGAATGCATAAGTAAGTGGAACAACAAATCAGTGTTTCTTTCTCTCTCTCAGCACCCTTCCTCTCACTCTAAAAAAATTTTAAAAACCTAAGCAATTAGCCCGGCCGGGCGTAGCTCAGCGGTTGAGCGTCGACCTAGGATCCAGGCGATCGGGGTTCGATTCCGGTCAGGGCACATGCCCGGGTTGCAGGCTCAATCCCCAGTCGAGGGGTGCAGGAGGCAGCTTATCAGTGACTCTCTCATCATTGATGTTTCTATCTCTCCCTCTCCTTTCCTCTCTCTGAAATCAATAAAGATATATTAAAAAAACACACACAAAAACCCCCAAAAAACAAAAACCTAAGTAATTAAAAGGAAAAATCACCACCTCCTAAACAATAAGGGATCCAAGACCACCTGAATTCCAAACCACTCCTCAAAGTTACTTTTTAAAATGTCAGGTATTTCCACTGTGGTTTCCAACAACCCATCTCTGGAAGTAAGTATTCTCAACTCTCAATAAACATCAGTGCAAAAAGGGGGAGCCTGAACCACCATCGAAGAGGAATCATTATCTGTCAACAACAGAAGGTCAGCTCAACTTTAAAACCAAACTACCTACCTTACAAATAACAACTGAAATTTCTTAGTATACTCAGCCATCTTAAAAAACTTTTTAAAATTCTCACCCGAGGACATGCTTAGGAGAGGAAGGGAGAGAGAGAAAAAACCAGATCAGTTGCCCTCCACACGTGCCCTGACTGGGGATGGAACCTGGAACCCAGGTATGTGCCCTGACAGGGAATGGAACCCGCAACCTTTTGGTGCACAGGACGACGCTCAACCAACTGAGCCACTCCGGCCGGGCACCATCTTTTAATTTTTTAAAGGGTTAACTAAACAAGTGAATGAAATCACACAACTAGCTAGTTCCATCAGTTTGGTCTCCTGCACACCAGACAGCCCCAAACTGGAACCCCGAGGGTGCTACCAGGACCTCTGATTTCTGAGAATACAGCTTCGCAGGAGCCTTTACTGTACTCCAGGCTGGGGCTCGGGAATCTTCCACGCTCCCCACACCGCCAACGCTGAAGGCTCCTTTAGGTCATTGGCACGTGTAACTCGCGGCGCGCACTAGGCGCAGGTCCTTGGAGCTCTCCCTCTCCTGAACATCAGCAATGGGAAGTGGGGCTGGGAGGCTCACCTGAATCCAGGGTTCCACACCATCCTCTAGCGATCCCCACCCCACCCCCAAAATTAAAAAAATGGAACCAAGTTTTCTCACCCAACTTTCTACCCTCTCCCACGTGGGTTGGTCTCTTCCTCCCAGGTCGGACCATGCCCCCTCCGCTCACCAGAGGCCTTCGGCTGCGCGCACTGACTGCTACACCCCCGACCACAACAGCTGGGACCCTAAGGCTTCCGGGGTTCTAACCTCCAGCGGGGCTGCGGGGACCTAGCAGCTGCCCGAGTTCCGACTCGGGCCCCGGAGCTCCAGACTACGCAGCTACTGAACTCCCAGGTCCCGGCCCGCCGGTCGAAGCGGCGCACGTTTTAAGCCCCTTCAGGCTGGTGAGTGACCCGAACCTCGAGTCCCGCACTTCCCGGCCCTGCCGCCCGCCCTCACCATGGCTGCGGTTCCGCGGCCTCGCCTCTCCTCAAGAAGCGCCGCCGACGTACGTCAGAGAACGAGCGCTCCACTCGGCGGAAAGCCGCGCGCAGGAAGTAGAAATGGCCGTGCGCCGGACAGGAAGCGGAAGTGATGCCATTGAGTGGGCGGGCCTCGGCCGCTAAAGAGCCGTGGGGGAGGGGACTCAGGGGGCGGCCTCAGCCTCGGGCGAGGGACCTCGTTTTGCTGTTTTTATCATTTTTCTAATGCACATTATTGGCGGAAACGAATTAAACATTCAAAAAAATACACCAGCTTCCTATTCCTACTTTGAATCTTTGTTCTTGATATTCAGAGCCCTGGCAGAGGGAGCCCATTGGGCCAAACTTAGGTCACCCCTCCACTCCTTGGCTGTCTTGGATCTGTGAGTGTCAGGTATAAGCTGGGGTGATTCAACCAGGACACACTGTGTGGCATATTGGGTTCTTAAAAGAGAGACATACCTCCCAAATGGTTGATAAAAAGGCGATGCCCCTCTCCCAGGATCCAAGGGGCCGCTTACAACCCAGTTATTAAAGGGTTAAGGCACGGCCCATTCTGATTGGTTGGTATCCCTGCCTGCTCTGTGATTCGCTATTTTGAATATAACCTTTAGGTGAAAGAAAGTAGCATTTATTCCGGATAGCATTTATTCTCCCACCAACACTGATCTTGAAATGGGAAAAGTAATTCTGGGTGGTCAAACAAGAATATGCATGTTCAATACAGTAGTCATTAAGTGATATTGGATAGACATGGACAAATGGATAAAAGTATCTAATAGGAAGAAGAAATAAGCAGACTACAGGTTACTTCTCCCATTATCCATGGGGGAATTTAATCTCTTCAGTCCAGAGGACAGGTTGTTTAAAATAAAGTCTTCTTCATCTCAATTCTTTTTGGGCAGTTCCCCAACACTGCCCTTACCTGCACTGAGCGCAGGCATGTTAGCCAACTTGGGTGCCAGGTTCAGCAGCTGGAGCGGAAGCTGGAGCATCAGGCTCCTTTGTGAGGTGGCCTCAGTGGCGAGGTGCTATGAGGCAGGGGTCACCCCACCCCAAACTGGCTGGGAGAGCCATACCAGTCCTGTCCTCCAGCTCCCTAACACCTCCAGCCTGACCTAAGCTTTTTCATGTTGCTGCCACTGCTGGGCACCTGCACTGTGGTGGGGCCATTCCAGGGCCCTGAGTGAAAGCCAGTAAGGGGCCTGCTCACTGTGGATCACAGCTGCAGGGCCCCGGATGCTGAGGCAACCTGCTTGTCTGCCTCTTTTTGATCTGGCAGGTCTAGCACTATTGGCACCAGATCACCAGGATACCCCCCAGCATGAGGAAGGTCATCAAGGTGAGGGGCCCCACACACCTCCTTCCCTCAGCACCATAACTGTTTCAGTCACTTGTTACGAAGACCCTGTTCTATGGCCTGTGCACAGAGATGAATCATACTGGGGAACTCAGACTGGTCAAGGAGAACATCATCCTGCCCCAAATCCGGCAGTTACCCTGGGCTCCTTTCTCTCTTCCTCACTCCATATATTCAATCCATCTACAAGTCCTATGGGCTCTATTTGCATACCATATCTCAGATCTGATCGCTTCTCAAAACCTCACCACACCCATCTGGACAAAACCCCCTTGTGTCTCACCTGGACTATAGGCACCTCTCTCACACAGCCACAGTCAGTGCTCCACACAGCCAACAGAACCGAATGACCTTCTTTCTCTTTTTTTAAAAATTTTAATCCAAGGATAATATACATACGTAGATTATAAGTGTTTAGGTTAATGAATTTTCACAAACTGAACACATCCATGTGCAGCACCCAGGTTAAAAAACAGACCATCACCAGCAGCCCAGAAGCTTGCAGTCATGAGTATGCTGATTTCTAATAGCATGGACTGGTTTTGTCTGTATGGAATCATACAGAAAGTTTTCTTTTGCACCCAGCTTACGGCTAACATTATGCTTGTAGCCAGAACAAACTTTTACAAACAGATCATAGCACTTTGCCACTCAAAACCCAGTAATGGCTCTTAAGGATACACTCCCCATCAAACTCAGAATAAAATCCAAACTTCTAACTTCAACTCCAAGGACAGCATGATCTGCTCCTAGTTTCTCTCTGACCTCATCTCCCAGCATTCTCCTCGTCACTCATTCCATTCTGGCCACACAGGCTTCCTTACTGTTCTTCATACACGACCTCATTCTGTCTTCAGGGGCTTTGTAGTAATATCTCTTGTGCCTACAATGCTCTTTTTTCAGATGTTACTTGGTTTGCCTCTCCACTTAGGTCTCTAGTCAGATGTCACCACCTCTGAGAGGCCTATCTGACAGAGCTAACCCCATTCCCTTTCTGCTTTTGTTTCCATCAGAACACTTTTCTATACCTAACATCCTGTTATATACTCGGCTACTGTCTCTCCATGTCTAGAAGATAGCTCCTAGGGGGGACTTTGTTTTGTTCATGCTGGTACCTCCACCAACTAGAATAGTGCCTGGCCTGGAATAAATATTTTATCTTTCTTGAATGAATGACTACTGTTTGCCCTAAGGGAAATGATTCCCCCTTTCCTAAGCCCGAGCATCCTCATCTGGATTAATGGGGATTACAATTCTGATCTGCGAGGATCAAATAAGACAATGTGTACAAGGATTTTGCTTCTCAGTTCTCACCTACAGGTGCCACCACAGAAGTGGGCAGTGCCCTTCACAAGACATGACACTTGTCTTAGAATGACCCCTAAGTTACTCTTCAGTCCTGGCAAGTTCAGGGGACTGGGTGCTCATGTTCAACAATGGGCACAAAAGAAGAGATGGGAATACTGGAGGAGCCTCCGGGAATCAGGGGCCCAATACATGCTCTCTTGGCAGCACCCATGCCAGTGCCCACCTTGGGATTTCCATACCCCTTCTGAGCCCACCTTTTGCACCATGTGCTTTTCAAGCACCTGTATGCTCCCTCAGAACAGTCCTTGGGATATATGGCAGATACCCTGGTGTCTCAGTGATGAGCACCCTCACCTGACTTGCAAGCCACTGCTTCCTGACCCGGACATGTATCATCAAAGGATGGAGCAACCGCCAGTCCACTCCTAGCAACAGTTAGTGACATTGGAGCCTATTGTCAGCATGAGGTTCCATCCCACCTCCATGACTCTAGCCACTGCTCTCCCAAACCTCCGTTCATTTCAGAGGCCGCAGTTCTGCTCCAGAGAATTCCTGCCTTTTCCTTCCAATCAACAAGTGGGAATACCCACCTGGAAGTCCTGGGACTGTCCACAAGAGGCCTAGTCACCAGGGAGGGAAAACCAGATACTAAGCAGAGAGAATATTAGAGAGACCCAGGCTCCAGAGTGGGCAAACCAGAGATGGAGCAGTGGGGAGGATGCCTGGGAGACTGAGACATCTGGAAGGCAACTCCCAATAAACTTTGGGATGGAGGACCATGCAGAGACTAAGGCCCTGGAGTGGGAAAGCCAGAGTAGTGGTAAGTAAAACTGATGGAGAGATCCTGACAGCAGGGTGGGAGAACCGGAACCACATGGAAGTTAAGAATAGAGCCCAAATTCAGGGAATAGGGAAGAGAAACCAGACGGAGGCTACAGGTGAGAATCCTCCTGAAACCCAGGCACACATAGCAGAGAACCAGGAACAGTCAAGATGTAAAATTGATGCAGAGACCCAAACACCAGAGTGGGGGAACCAGGACAAGAGCAGAAACGAGGATACTCTAGAGACTTAGGTACTTGAGAAGAACAAGAAAGGCACCAAGGGGGAGGGTGAAGGAGAAACCTAGGCCCAAGTACCGGGAAGCAGCCCCAGACTGGAAGTGAGAATGGTGAGGAGTTCCAGGTGCCACGGTGAGAAAAACAAGACCAGATTAGAAGTGACACTGCTACAGAAATTCAGGCAGAGGAGAGCAGAAACAAGGACCAGGTTGGAGGTGAAAATGTGTAAACCCAAATATCTGGGAGCGAGAAGCTGGGAGAAGTAAAACGAGAGGGTGGTGTAGGGATCCAGGCCCTGGGGTGGGGAAAACAAGGATATGTTGAAAGTAACAATGTTACAGAAATCCAGACACCAAGGTGAGAGAAGCGGGGTCAGGGTAGAAGTGAGAAAGCTGGGGGAGAGATCCAGAAACAACTAAGACATGAATTTCAAGTGGGGTGGAGAAGGCAAGGCCTGAGAAGAGGCAAGGATGCTGGGGAAACCCAGATATCTAGAAGGAAGAACCTCAGGGAGATAAGAAAGGAGGATTGGGTAGTGACCCAGACACTGTGGTGGAAAGACCAGAGACCAGTGACAAGTGAAATTGTCAGAGAATTTGAGATATCATGTTGGAGAACTCAGGGCCAGATTGGAGGTGAACACAGCAGAAATTCAGGCACCAAAGAAGAGAGACCAGAGAAAGGACAGAGGGGGATAGTGTAAATACCCTGGCACATGGAGTAGAGAACCAGGGACAATCAAGAGGTGAAACTCATGTAGACACCCACCTACTAGACAGGAGAACCCAGGAGCAGTTTGGAGATGAGACTAGTACAGACATTCAGGTGCCAGAGACAGAAAACCTGAGAGGGGTGAAAGGTGAAGATAGTAAAGAGCCCCAGGAACTTGGGGGGAAAAACCAGGGTCAGTTAAGCAATGAAATTAATGGAAAGATTCACACAGTGGAGTGGAAGAATCAGGAACACATTAGAAGCAAGAATGGTGCAAATGCCCAGGCATCTCATGCAGAGAACTGCGTACGATTAACAAGTAAAATTGATGGAGAAGCTCATTCAGCAGAATGTAAGAAAGAGAAGCGGGCTGGAGGTGAGAATGGCACAGAAGTGCCAGCTCTAGAGAAAAAAAAACCCAGAGAGTACCTGGAGGTGAGGATGGTGTAGAGACCCAGAGAACGGAGAGAGAAAACCTGGGACAGCTAGATGGTGAAATTGGAGAGAACCATTCACCAGGGAGGAGGAACTGGGAGAAGAGTGGAGGAAAACAATGCAGAAAAGCAGACATTGGAGAAGAGAAACCAGAGAGAGGTTGGAAGCGAGGATGGTAGAAAGATCCAGAGATTTAGGGGAACGAACCAGAGATTGTTAAAAAGTAAAGTTAATGGAAAGACCTGTACATCAGCATGGAAGAACCAGGAGCAGACTGAGGGCAGAATGGTGCAAAAATTCAAATACAAGGGAAGAGAAACCTGAGAGGGGCCACAAGTGATGATGGTAGAGAGACCCAGGTTCCTGGGGGGAGATTAGCAAGAACAGTTAAGGAGTTGTGTTGATGGGAAGATCCAGACACAAGGGCAAGAGAACCAGAGAAAGGGTGGTGATGGGGATGCTGCAGAAATCTGGGATGTAGGGAGCCAGAGAAAGTGCGGAGCTGAGGATGCTGGAGAACCTGGAGTTCCAAGGGGAGGAATCAAGGACCAGGTCAGAGAATGGGATGCTGTTAAAGGCAATCTCCGAGTTGACTGTTCTGGGGGTGAGGGGCCCCCAGTCCTCACTGGCTCTGGGTATGGGGCCATGGAACAGGATGGAGCATTGCCCTCTGCTACCTGTCCTGAGATGAAGCCTCTCCCCCACCCAGGTGAAGTCTTCTTGCTCTCCAGTGGGGCGGGGAGGCATTTGGCCAGCCAGAGCATGGCCCCTGCCAGGAAGCACAGAGTGAGCATCAGTCCAGCTTCCCTGCAGGCCCCACCTAAACCCCGGAGAAGCCAACGAAGGGACAAAAGAGTGGGTCTGGGGAAGGCCCCTGGTCTGGCTTGGCAGCTCCAGAACCTACAGTGTCTGGCTGCTTCCCTGAACCTGCCGTCTTCCTGTCCACTCTGACTGGTGTGGCCAAGCCCTCCAAGCTGTCACAGTTCTGGTGGGTGTTCCTATTGTGCTCACTGTCCTGCCCAAGTGCCAGTCCTCAAGAAGAGCCAGCAGGTGCTCCTGGAGTCCCTCATGCAGAGGAAGATTGCACACGTGAAGTGGGGCCTCTCCCAGCGGATCCTGGAGTCCTATTTGCTCTTTAGCTTAGATCCAAGCCCACTGCCCTTTGCTGGGGTGTGGCTCCAAGGGCAGCAGGAGAGGCTTTGTGAGGCCTCCAGGCCAGGCCTTACGTCCCCTGGGAAGTCCCAGAGGGTTCAAGCCCCAGAAAGAAAAAGCTCAAAACTTTCTACGCAGGCCAGAGCTCTGGAGAAGTGTTGGACACAGGGATTGGAGCCCAAGGGCATTTCCATCCAACCCCCAAAGCCTCAGAGAGTCACACCACCAGGGGGCCCCAGAAAAAGACAGGTTTCTCCTAGGGCCAAGCTCCCTGATCCCAGGAACCCCAGGCCTGCAGCAGAGTCTAGGAACTGGAGTAGCCAGGAAGGGGTCAAAGATCCTTCCAGTGAGAATAGCAGGGGCAAGAAAATGGTCAGGCCAGGAGTCTCCCAGGTGGCAGAGAGGGCTCCCAGCAGAGTGAGACCCTCATACTGCAGGGGAGGCCATGACCACTGTAGGAAGGAGAGCACATCCCAGGAAGCCTCTAAGCCCCCCAGGCAGAAATGTCGGCAGCCCACACACCGGACAAGAGAAAGCCTGGAGGGCAGAGGGGCTGAGCAGCAGTCTTCTTCCTGTTCCAAAGACACCTCCAGCTTCAAAGGGAGTCTCCACTCTGCCACAAGGAGCCTGAGCATAACCTGTCTGAACAAGAACATCCTGGTCCCTGCACCTGGCCAAACCCCAGCACCCAGCCCCCAACCTGAGCCTGAGTGGTTCTGTTCCCACCCTGCTTTCCAAAGTGGGTGACCCACATGTAAGGGAGGACAACATCGGAGCCCACACTTCTTTGAAGAGGGACCTTCTGCCATCAGGTCACTGCCGTGCTGGTGCTGCTCTTCCTGAGACAGAAAGCCTCCGGGGTCAAGGGGAACCTGAAAACCCAAATGGGGCCCTATGGAATCCACTAGTCTCCAAAAAGTTTTGTTTTTTAAAGCATTTGAGGTGTTTTCTGGTCCAGCATTGCTTTAGAAAATAGGCCGCAGGCCCAGAGTCCCCAGAGCACACCGGAGAAGGCATGACAGTGGTCTGATCTCCCCCAGAGCCTCTAATAAAATTGGTTACTTGGTGGGGTTCTGCCCCCTTTTGGGGTTTGGGATACTTTGTGGATGGGGTGGAAGCCACTTTTACTCTGGTTTTGAAGGTTTGGGGAATGTGAGTCAGCCCAGTGTCGTCCCCAGCTCCTCACAGTAGGGCTTACTGAGGTTTCTACCATGGCTCTGTCCTGTCCTATTCCAAGCTAACTGTGGTTGAGATAAAATGCTCAAACAGCCTTAGCTGCTTGTGGGGAGGGCTAGTGCTCTGTACTGGGAACTATTTATTATTCTTGTCTGTTTGATCACAAGGAAGGGAGCTGATCACTGGGCATCTGCTCTGCTGGGATTCTGCTGCCCAACAGCAGACTCCACAGAAAAACTATCCCCACCTCTCCAGTTCTGAAGCACTGCCAACCATAATTACTTGTTGTTTTGCCTGGCCCACCTGTGGGATGTCCTGGAGCTAGTTATTTCTTTTAACCAAGAGTGAAACTTCTGAGCCAAAGGGCATTCTATCTTATGACACTTCTGTAGACAGCTTCAGCAGGGCCTAAATCAGTGGGTGCTGGAGTTGGGAATCTAATTCAGGTTTTCTCCGTCTCTCTCCTTCATTCCCTCTCCCTTCTTTCCTTTCTCCCTTCCTGCCTTCCCTTTCATTTAGCTTTCTGATTTTTAAATGTACTGTCAAACCCATACGTGCTCATTAAAGAGTTTAGGAAATTCAGAAGATGGTCCTGGCCAGGTAGCTCAGCTGGTTAGAGCGTTGTCCTGATACCCCAAGGTTGCAGTTTCGATTTCTAGTCAGGACACACAAGAATCAACCAATGATGCATAAACAAGTGGAATAGCAAGTCTCTCTCTCTTTCTCAAATTAATTTAAAAAACATTCTAAAAAATTCAGAAAGGGAAAAATCATCATCATATGACAGAGTTCATGCTATGATGTTTTCCTTCCTATGCCCTGCTGCCTGCAAGGTGTTCCCATAGCAATTTGTGTCTCCCTCTCCTGTAGCATTTACACTGCGGTGGCCAGCCTCTAAGGAAGTCCCCAATGTGCTCTACCTCCTGGTACTCATGCTCCTTGAGTGTGGATGGGATCCAGTGACTCACTTCTAACAGAGTACAGCAGAAATGATGGAATGTCTCCTGAGAATAGGTTACAGAGACTGTCGCTTCCATCTTGGGCACTTCTCTCACTCTCCTGCTTGCTCCCTGAGGGAAGCCATCCTCC